ACGCGGCGTGCGGTGTGGCCTGCGCAGGGGCACCCTGAGCCGGGCCAAGCTGTGCGAGAGCGGCGAGGACGGAGCAGCGGCCAGCCCAGAGGGCCCACCCAGCCCAGACAGCGATTCGCTGGGGCCCCGCCAGCCCCTGGGCCCGCGCGCCCACCGGCCCTGCACCTGCTTGTCCACCACAGGCCATGTAGAGGGCTCACTGAAAGCCCGAAGAAGCCACTCAGCGCTCCGGACTCTCCCTGGCCTCGCTGCCCCGTGCCTGCGCGCTCCCGGAGACTGCGGCAGCAGAGGCAGCTCACGGCGGTATCTCTCCGCACCCGGGTCCGACGGCAAAGTGACAACAGGGTGTGGAGGCCCAGCCGCCTCCAGGGGCCTCTGAGGTGCCCGAGGACAGGACGATGCTGGGAGGAGGGGACAGAAGACAGATGGCCACTGGGCAGGTTTCAGGTGCACGACGTGATTCAACATTTCTTACTATAAGGATTTATTTATGTAGGCACACAAGAACTGGGGTACAGCCAGAGGTGTGGGGAAAGAGGACTCCCCCAGACACAGTGGGGAGCAGAACAGGTGGATCCACTGGAACACACTGCAGAGGGGGCAGGGGGAGACAGGCGGGGCCTGCTGCGCCCTGGGGGTCACCCCTGGCGAGGATCCAACTCCTGCTGCAGAGGCTGGGTCAGCCTCACAGTGCTGCGCGGGGAGACCCATGATTCACACTTGCACACACTGCAAAACCATCATCACAAGTGTAGTTACCAGCTTCACGGCTCTACTCACTAGCATTACTTTAGGTCACACTTTTACCTTTCAGGATTCATTTCCTGGCAGCTTCCAAGTATGCGCGACAATATGATCAGCTATAGTTTCCATGCTACATGTAACATCTCCAGTTATTTTTTTTTATAACCAGAAGTGTGTCCGTAGCTTTTCACCTTTGTACATTTCACCTTTGTACATCTGTTACTGCAATTTCCCAGAGAAACCAGACAGACTTAGGTGGAGAGAGAGAGATTTACTTGTCACAATGCTGGGCTCGCTGGGATCAGCCCCAACGGACGACGGCCGAGTCACAGGGGTGGCGAGGCTGCGTCCAGGCTGTGCGAGGAAGCTGGTCACCCGCCACCACGCATTAGCACTCTTCACTGTCCGGGAGGAGCCGCGGTGGCCAGAGCTGCCGTGTGGGCCGGCAGCCACCGCGGGGACTTTGTGCTCCAGCGAGCAGCAGACCCCGCAGGCCTGGGAAGCTTCCTGTGTCAGATCTTGATACAAGTATTTTTAGTGATACAATTTGCAAATGTTTTGGCCAGTTTATGTCCTGTCTACAACTAGCAGGAGCCCCAATTTTGTCCAAGTCCATCCGATTTATCAAGAGCTTCTTTCATGGATGGGTTTTGTTGTATATTTTTGGGAACCCCCAGCTCACAGACATTTCTTTCCTGTTGTATTCTAGAAGTACATTTCTTTATTCAAGGATAGTTTGGGTTTTAATTTAGGCTTATGATCCATTTTGAGTTAAATTTTAGAGATGATGCGATGTATGGATAATTTTTTTTTT